GTGGTCTAAGGCACTGCATCACAGTGCTAGCTGTGCCACTAGAGATCCTGGTTTGAATCCAGGCTCTGTCGTAGCCGGCCGCGACCGGGAGACCCATGGGGCGGCGTGCAATTGGTCCAGGGTAGGGGAGGGAATGGCCGGCAGGGATGTAGCTCAGTTGATAGAGCATGGTGTTTGCAACGCCAGGGTTGTGGGTTTGATTCCCACAGGGGGTATGAAAAAATTAAATAATGTATGCTCTGGATAAGAGTGTCTGCAAAATGACTAAAATGTAAATATTAAAATCAAGTATTAGGGACATTTAGTTTACTACAGTTTTTTAGGCCAGCCACACTCTACATGCCATTAGCACGGTATATGTGGCCAGGATTTAATCTATTTATGATGAAAAAGGTACTAAGCTTTTATATTAAATCTGAAGATAAAGTGTGTATGTGTACCCCTTTCCTGCAGTCAAATGACCAAATCGCCCTCTAGCGACCTCATGGGTGGAATGTTATTCATATTTTTCTTATAATTTCATAATTAATAGATGTATTTTTGTTTTTTAATGCCGAAAATCTGGTGTTTCTATGTCTAACGGTTTTGTTATATTTCAGTCTTCTGTGATATATGAAGTGTAATATTGGGATACAAACTCAACATTGAATACATTTCAACTCTATATCTGACATGGTACAGAAGCCCATAACCATGTGTGTGAGGTGTATACTTTTGTTTCATAGTAGATTTGTTTAAGACTACCAAGGAACACTCTGTGTGACCCTGATTCAGCCCACTGCAGTAAAAGGTTAATTGACCTTAGTGAGGCTGAAACCAAGGGTCACAGATTGAGAGCCCAGTGATACGGTCCTCATGGCAAATGTCTTCAGAAAAAAACATACTTTATTTACAGACAGCCAAAGCGTGCTGCTGATTCCCAGACCCCCCCCCCAAAATACCATTCATAAAAATTTGGCAGCCAGTCAGAAAGATGGTGCCGAGCATCTGCTATCATCACCAGGTCTCCTTCACCCAAACAATGCTCTCTCTCTCTCTCTCTCTCCCTCTCTCTTTCTCTTTCTCTCTCTCTCTTCTGCTCACACTCTCTCTTTCTCTATCTCTCTCTTTTGCTCTCTCTCTCCCTTCTGCTCTCCATAACAATGTGCAAATAGTTGAAGTATGAAATTAAATAAACAGATAAATAGGTCACAAACAGGTCACAAATCTTGCTGCTGTGATGGCACACTATAGTATTTCACCTAATAGATATGGTAGTTTATCAAGATTGGATTTCAAATTCTTTGTGGGTCTGTGTAATCTGAGGTAAATATGTGTCTCTGATGTGGTCATACAGTTGGCAGGAGGTTAGGAAGTGAAGCTCGGTTTCCACCTCATTTTGTGGGCAGTGGGCACATAGCCTGTCTTCTCTTGAGAGCCAGGTCTGCCGATGCAAGGCCATGCTCACTGAGTCTGTACATAGTCAAAGCTTTTCTTAATTTTGGGTCTGTCACAATGCTCAGGTATTCTGCTACTGTGTACTCTCAGTTTAGGGCCAAATACATTTGCTCAGTTTTTTTGTTGATTCTTTCCAATGTGTCAAGTAATTACCTTGTAGTTTTTCATGATCTGGTTGGGTCTAATTGTGTTGCTGTCCTGGGGCTCTGTGGGGTCTGTTTGTGTTTGTGAGCAGAGTCCCCGTACCAGCTGGCAGAGGGGACTCTTCTCCAGGTTAATCTCTCTGTAGGTGAGGGCTTTGTTATGGAAGGTTTGAGAATTTAATTGCTATTTTCTGGATTTTGGTAATTTGCGTGAATCGTCCTAATTCTGTTCTGCATGCATTATTTGGTGTTTTACGTTGTACACAGAGGATGCTTTTGCATTTATGGTCCTGGTAACTGGATCTTTTTGGAACACCATTATTTTTGTCTTACTGAGATTAACTGCCAGGGCCCAACTCTGACAGAATCAGTGCAGAAGATCTAGGTGCTGCTGTAGGCCCTCCATGGTTGGGGACAGAAGCACCAGATCGTCTGCAAAAAGTAAACATTTGACTTCAGAGCCTAGTACGGTGAGGCCGGGTGCTGCAGAATGTTTTAGTGCCCTCACAAATTCATTGATATATATGTTGAAGAGGGTGGGGCTCAAACTGCATCCCTGTCTCATCCCCCGGCCCTGAGGAAAGAAATCTGGGCTTTTTGCCCATTTTAACCGCACACTTGTTGTTTGTGGACATGGATTTTATAATGTCGTATGGTTTCCTCCCAACACCGCTTTCCCCTACCATCAATTTATATAGCAGACTTTCATGCCAAATTGAGTCAAAACCTTTTTTGAAATAAACAAAGCATGAGAAGACTTTGCTTTTTTTTGTTTTGTTTCTTTGTCAATAAGGGTGTACAGGGCGAGTACGTGGTCTGTCGTACGGTAATTTGGTAAAAAGACAATTTGACATTTGCTCAGGACATTATTTTTACTGAGGAAATGTAGGAGTCTCCTGTTAATGGTAATGCAGAGGATTTTCCCAAGGTTGCATATCCCATGGTAGTTATTTGGGTCAAATTTGTCTCCACATTTGTGAATTGGGGTGATCAGTATTGGGGAAGATGCCAGAGCTGAGGATGATGTTAAAGAGTGTAAGTATAGCGCAATTGGAAATTGTGGTCTGTATATTCTATAATTTCATTTAGGATACCATCAACACCACAGGCCTTTTTGGGTTGAAGCTGAGAGGTCAAATATACTATTTAGGCTTTCTACTGCCAAGTTTACACCTTCACTAATGCAGTGAAACGTTTTGTCCAGGAAGTTGTCTAAAACGGTTTGAATTTGTTGGCTAATTGTTTTCTGGTAGGTTTCTGCAATACTTTCCTTCCATCTATAGCATCTCCACTGCTCTTTCTCTTTCTCTCTCTCTCTCTCTCTCTCTCTCTCTCTCTCTCTCTCTCTCTCTCTCTCTCTCTCTCTCTCTCTCTCTCTCTCTCTTCAGCTCACACTCTCTCTCTTTTTCTCTCTATGTTTTTCTCTCTCTTTTCCCCCATCTCTCCCCTTTACTCTCTTTCTCTTCTGCTCTCTCCCTCTTCCCCGATCTCTCTATTTTGCTCTCTCTCTTCTGCTCTCTCCCTCTCTCTTCTGCTCTTTCTCGTTCTTCCTTTATCTCTCTCTTCTGCTCTCTCTCTATCTCTACTGCTCTCTCTCTTCCTCTCTCTCGCTACTGCTCTCTCTCTATCTCTCTACTGCTCTCTCTCTTTCTCTCTATCTCTACTGCTCTCTCTCTATCTCTTCCTCTCTCTCTCTTCCTTTATCAATTCAATTTAAGGGCTTTATTGGCATGGGAAACGTATGTTAACATTGCCAAAGCAAGTGAAGTAGATAGTAAACAAAAGTGAAATAAACAAGAAATATTAACAGTCTTCCTTTATCTCTCTCTACTGCTCTCTCTCTATCTCTACTGCTCTCTCTCTCTATCTCTACTGCTCTCTCTCTCTATCTCTACTGCTCTCTCTCTATCTCTACTGCTCTCTCTCTATCTCTACTGCTCTCTCTCTCTATCTCTACTGCTCTCTCTCTCTATCTCTACTGCTCTCTCTCTTCCTCTCTCTTGCTACTGCTCTCTCTCTATCTCTCTACTGCTCTCTCTCTTCTGCTCTCTTCTGCTCTCTCTCTATCTCTACTGCTCTCTCTCTCTATCTCTACTGCTCTCTCTCTATCTCTACTGCTCTCTCTCTATCTCTACTGCTCTCTCTCTATCTCTACTGCTCTCTCTCTATCTCTACTGCTCTCTCTCTATCTCTACTGCTCTCTCTCTCTATCTCTACTGCTCTCTCTCTATCTCTACTGCTCTCTCTCTCTATCTCTACTGCTCTCTCTCTCTACTGCTCTCTCTTCCTCTCTCTTGCTACTGCTCTCTCTCTATCTCTCTACTGCTCTCTCTCTTCTGCTCTCTCTCTATCTCTACTGCTCTCTCTCTTCCTCTCTCTTGCTACTGCTCTCTCTCTATCTCTCTTCTGCTCTCTCTCTATCTCTCTACTGCTCTCTCTCTTCTGCTCTCTCTCTTCTGCTCTCTCTCTATCTCTACTGCTCTCTCTCTCTCTATCTCTCTACTGCTCTCTCTCTTCCACTCTCTCTCTTCTGCTCTCTCTCTATCTCTACTGCTCTCTCTCTATCTCTACTGCTCTCTCTCTATCTCTACTGCTCTCTCTCTCTATCTCTACTGCTCTCTCTCTTCCTCTCTCTCTCTTCTGCACTCTCTCGCTCTACTGCTGTCTCTCTTGCTTCCAGACAGTCACATTGTCTGTTTCATAACTTCTGAACGCAATTAATCCTAATTAATCTTCATTTATTCCAATGTCTGTGACTCCTACATCAATGAAACGCGGCTGCGTAGACACATAGACAGGAGGCAACATTCCGCATGGGGATTTTTCACATCAAACTTCCTTTGTATCCAGAAACGGGAAAGATATTGAAGGTGAACAGAAGCACATCTAGACACTGAGGAGAAGGGTATTGGATTCAATTGGGTCCAATTTAATCTAACTTTAAGAAAGGAAGTTTGGGGTAAATGGTTTGGGGTTGAGGGAGGTCATATTTGTTCCGTTTTTAATTTAAGACTGGATTCGATTACCTTAGCCAGACGGTCAAGTCTAGACAAAAGTATGGTCCAATGCACTCTCAAGGTGAACACTGCTGTGTCAGAGATTGTCAACACTGCAAATGGGCAATGTCTAAGTAGTACTTTTAGCTGCAATGACTGTGATTACAACAGAACTGAGATAACTCACCTGTCCTCTATCTATTCCTCCACCTGTAGGCTGGTAAAAGCAATTATGACATGACATGGTAGCTGTGATTGTATCCCCTTGGTTCTGTCATGGAAAATGCGGAATTAATTGTGTTTTGGAATCATATTCTGTCATGGAAAATGTAGACAATTCAGCCAAATAATTTATGAATACATCACAAAACTTTGATGGCTCTTTAAAAGATGAAATGGACTTCATGCTGTGCTTTTTTGACAGGCACCACCTCGAAGCATGTGGTGATGCTGGCAGGCAACACGGCCAAACATGGCCTCCGCTGCAAAGCCTGCAAGATGAGCATTCACCACAAGTGCGAGAAAGGAGTGGGATCGCAACGCTGCCAAGGCAAGCTGGTAAGAACCTCAACATCATCACAGAATTAAATATAGAACAAAAGTATTATATATACTGTATCTCTATGGACATCATCACCAGTGTCATCATTACTGCCGTCAACAATGTCATCATCAATGACATCATCACTGTCATCATCCATAGAGTTACGTCTATATTCTATCACTGTCATTGTCATCAGTGTCGTCAGTGTTCTCCCCAGCTAACCAGAGAACGTATTGAAAATGTAGTATTAACATCGTCGGTGCCATCAAGCTCCCTTCGTGCCTACAGTATTTCTCCTCGCATTAAGCATTAATCCAAGGTCAATAGGTCTGGCCTCGAGGAATCTTTTTATTACGTTGGAATATATTGAAGTGCTATATGCCATTCTGTTAGAAGTACACCATGGGGATTACAGCCTGTTGCTTAGTATGATTCACATGTTCATATAGGCCTCCCGCAGTGGTCTAAGGCACTGCATCGCAGTGCTAGCTGTGCCACTAGAGATCCTGGTTCGAATCCAGGCTCTGTTGTAGCCGGCCACGACCGGGAGACCCATGGGGCGGCGCATAATTGGCCCTGCGTCGTCCAGGGTAGGGGAGGGAATGGCTGGCAGGGATGTAGCTCAGTTGGTAGAGCATAGCGTTTGCAACGCCAGGGTTGTGGGTTCAATTCCCACGGGGGGCCAGTATGAAAAATAATGTATGCATTCACTAACTGTAAGTCGCTCTGGATAAGAGCATCTGCTAAAATGATTATTTTTTAAACAGTCATACCAGATTAAAGCTGTGGTGTGGAACATATTGTGCAGCGAGGCAGGACTCCACAGAGGTTAATGTACTCATCACAAAGACATGAAAGGTAGATTAGTAATGCGGTACTGCAATGCCATAGGAGTCAATAAGCAGCTCATAAAAAATTCAGCAACAGGATCATCAAGGATACAGTTTGTGAGAAAGTAATCTACCAACTGAGACGTAAAAATATGTCTGTGATATAATACTAGAAAAAGAAGAATACTTTATTGTCCATTATCTGACAGTGGCTTGCGAAAGTATTCACCCCCCCTTGGCATTTTTCCTATTTTGTTGCCTTACAACCTGGAATTAAAATGGATTCTTTGGGGGTTTGTATCATTTGATTTACACAACATGCCTACCACTTTGAAGATGCAAAATATATTTTTTTGTGAAACAAACAAGAAAACAGAAAACTTGATTGTGCATAACTATTCACCCCCCCCAAAGTCAATACTTTGTAGAGCCACCTTTTGCAGCAATTACAGCTGCAAGTCTCTTGGGGTATGTCTCTATACGCTTGGCACATCTAGCCACTGGGATTCTTGCCCATTCTTCAAGGCAAAACTGCTCCAGCTCCTTCAAGTTGGATGGGTTCCGCTGGTGTACAGCAATCTTTAAGTCATACCAGAGATTCTCAATTGGATTGAGGTCTGGGCTTTGACTAGGCCATTCCAAGACATTTAAATGTTTCCCCTTAAACCACTCGAGTGTTGCTTTAGCAGTATGCTTAGGGTCATTGTCCTGCTGGAAGGTGAACCTCCGTCCCAGTCTCAAATCTCTGGAAGACTGAAACAGGTTTCCCTCAAGAATTTCCCTTATTTAGCACCATCCATCATTCCTTCAATTCTGACCAGTTTCCCAGTCCCTGCCGATGAAAAACATCCCCACAGCATGATGCTGCCACCACCATGCTTCACTGTGGGGATGGTGTTCTCGGGGTGCTGCGAGGTGTTGGGTTTGCGCCAGACATAGCATTTTCCTTGATGGCCAAAAAGCTCAATATTTGTCTCATCTGACCAGAGTACCTTCTTCCATATGTTTGGGGAGTCTCCCACATGCCTTTTGGCGAACACCAAACTTGTTTAATTATTTTTTTCTTTAAGCAATGGCTTTTTTCTGGCCACTCTTCCATAAAGCCCAGCTCTGTGGAGTGTACGGTTTAATGTGGTCCTAAGGACAGATACTCCAATCTCCGCTGTGGAGCTTTGCAGCTCCTTCAGGTTTGTCTTTGGTCTCTTTGTTGCCTCTCTGATTAATGCCCTCCTTGCCTGGTCCGTGAGTTTTGGTGGGCTGCCCTCTCTTGGCAGGTTTGTTGTGGTGCCATATTCTTAAAATTTTTTAATAATGGATTTAATGGTACTCCGTGGGATGTTCATAGTTTCTGATATTTTTTTATAACCCAACCCTGATCTGTACTTCTCCACAACTTTGTCCCTGACCTGTTTGGAGAGCTCGTTGGTCTTCATGGTGCCGCTTGCTTGGTGGTGCCCCTTGTTTAGTGGTGTTGCAGACTCTGGGGCCTTTCAGAACAGGTGTTTATATACTGAGATTATGTGACAGATCATGTGACACTTAGATTGCACACAGGTGGACTTTATTTAACTAATTATGTGACTTTTGAAGGTAATTGGTTGCACCAGATCTTATTTAGGGGCTTCATAGCAAAGGGGGTGTGTCATAAGGTGCTGAAGGTGGGTGTGGTGTAGGAATCAGGCGCAGGACGCAGAGGCTCAGTTCAAAGGCTTTAGTGCAAAATATCCACAAACAAAAGCACAATAAGCCTGAAGGCGAATACCAGGCGCACACAGGCGACAAAATAAACTGCGCACAAAACATGTGCAAAGAAACCACTCCAAACACTGGAGGGAAAAATGTAGCTCCAACACGTAACAGAGGCGCAATCACACACAAACACAGACACACACAACGAGAACTAAATAGAACACTAACGAGGACTAACTAGACACAGGTGTACAACATTAAGACCAAACCAAACGAACATGAAACATAGATCGGTGGCAGCTAGTACTCCGGGGACGACGACCGCCGAAGCCTGCCCGAACCAGGAGGAGGAGCAGCCTCGGCCGAAACCGTGACAGTACCCCCCCCTTGACGCGCGGCTCCAGCCGTGCGCCGACCCCGGCCTCGGGGACGACCAGGAGGACGCGGAGCAGGGCGCGCGGGATGGTCCCGGTGGAACTCCGACAGGAGAGATGGGTCTAGGATGTCCCTCCGCGGCACCCAGCACCGCTCCTCCGGGCCGTACCCCTCCCACTCCACGAGATACTGGAGACCCCCCATCCGGCGTCTGGAGTCCAAGATGGACCGAACGGTGTACGCCGGAGCCCCCTCGATGTCCAATGGGGGCGGAGGAGTCTCTCCTATCTCATTGTCCTGGAGTGGACCAGCTACCACCGGCCTGAGAAGAGACACATGGAACGAGGGGTTAATATTCTTATATTCAACAGGTAGATGTAACTTATAACACACCTCGTTCAATCTTCTCAGGACTTTAAAGGGCCCCACAAACCGCCGACCCAGCTTCCGGCAGGGCAGGCGGAGGGGTAGGTTTCTGGTAGAGAGCCAGACTCGATCTCCGGGTGCGTACACCGGCCCCTCACTGCGGTGGAGATCGGCGCTCGCCTTGTGACGACGGACGGCCCGCTGCAGGTGGACGTGGGCAGCGTTCCACGTCTCTTCCGAGCGCCTCATCCAATCATCCACCGCAGGGGCCTCGATCTGGCTCTGCTGCCACGGTGCCAGAACCGGCTGGTAACCTAATACACATTGGAAAGGGGTTAGGTTGGTAGAGGAGTGGCGGAGAGAATTCTGGGCCATCTCGGCCCAGGGAATGTAACGCGCCCACTCCTCAGGCCGGTCCTGGCAATAAGACCTCAGAAACCTACCCACATCCTGGTTGACACGTTCTACCTGCCCGTTACTCTCCGGGTGGTACCCCGAGGTAAGGCTAACCGAGACCCCCAAACGCTCCATAAACGCTCTCCACACCCGGGAGGTAAACTGGGGGCCCCGATCAGACACTATATCCTCGGGGACCCCGTAATGCCGGAAGACGTGGGTAAATAGGGCCTCAGCAGTCTGTAGGGCAGTAGGAAGACCCGACATAGGGAGAAGACGACAGGCCTTAGAGAAACGGTCCACAACGACCAGGATGGTGGTATTCCCCTGAGAGAGGGGAAGGTCTGTTACAAAATCCACCGAGAGGTGGGACCATGGTCGTTGTGGAACGGGTAGGGGCTGTAACTTACCCCTGGGCAGATGTCGGGGCGCCTTACACTGGGCGCACACCGAGCAGGAGGAGACATAAACCCTCACATCCCTAGCCAAAGTGGGCCACCAGTATTTAGTGCTAAGGCAATGCACCGTCCGGCCGATACCCGGATGTCCAGAGGAGGGTGACGTGTGAGCCCAGTAAATGAGTCGATCCCGAATCTCGAGCGGAACGTACTTCCGACCCTCAGGACACTGTGGAGGGCTGGGGTCGGTACGCAACGCTCGCTCGATTTCGGAATCGACCTCCCACACCACCGGTGCCACAAGGAACGACTCCGGTAGTATGGGAGTGGGCTCAACGGACCTCTCCTCCGTGTCATACCGCCGGGACAGCGCATCTGCCTTACCATTCTGGGACCCAGGGATGTACGTGATTTTAAATACGAACCTGGTGAGAAACATACTCCATCGAGCCTGGCGAGGGTTCAGTCTCCTCGCTGCCCGGATGTACTCCAGGTTCCGATGGTCAGTCAAAATGAGGAAAGGGTGTTGAGCCCCCTCAAGCCAATGCCTCCACACCTTAAGGGCTTGAACTACAGCTAACAGCTCCCTGTCCCCAACGTCATAGTTACGCTCCGCCGGGCTGAGCTTCTTAGAGTAAAAAGCACAGGGGCGGAGTTTAGGTGGCGTGCCGGACCGTTGAGAGAGAACGGCCCCTATACCAGCCTCAGACGCGTCTACCTCAACCTGAAAGGGTAATGCGGGATCCGGATGCGCCAGCACCGGAGCCGACGTAAACAGGTCCTTCAGTCTCCTAAAGGCCCTGTCCGCATCGGCTGACCACTGCAGTCGCACCGGACCCCCCTTCAGAAGGGACGTGATGGGAGCTGCCACCTGTCCAAAACCCCGGATAAACCTCCGGTAGTAATTCGCAAAGCCCAAAAACTGCTGCACCTCTTTTACAGTAGTTGGGGTTTGCCAATTACGCACAGCGGACACACGATCCACCTCCATTCTCACCCCTGACGCGGACAACCGATAACCCAAAAAGGAGACCGACTCCTGGAAAAACAGACATTTCTCTGCCTTGACATATAGGTCGTGCTCCAACAGCCTCCTCAATACACGACGCACCAGGGTTATATGCTCGGCTCGGGTAGACGAGTACACCAGAATGTCATCAATGTACACGACCACCCCTTGTCCCTGCATATCCCGGAAAATCTCATCTACGAAGGATTGGAAGACTGATGGAGCATTCATCAACCCATATGGCATGACGAGATATTCGAAATGACCTGACGTGGTACTAAACGCTGTCTTCCATTCGTCACCCTCCCTAATGCGCACCAAGTTATACGCGCTCCTGAGATCCAGTTTTGTGAAAAACCGCGCTCCATGCAATGACTCCGTCATGGTCGCAATCAGAGGGAGTGGATAACTGTATTTCACAGTAATCTGATTGAGACCACGGTAATCAATGCACGGGCGCAACCCTCCATCCTTCTTTTTCACAAAAAAGAAACTCGAGGAGGCGGGAGAAGTGGAGGGCCGAATGTATCCCTGTCTCAAAGATTCGGCTATGTAAGTCTCCATAGCTTTTCTCTCCTCTTGAGACAAAGGATACACATGGCTCCGTGGGAGCGCTGCTCCTGCCTGGAGATCAATCGCACAATCCCCCTGTCTATGAGGAGGCAACTGCGTCGCCCTAGTTTTGCTAAACACGAGAGCTAAATCCCCATATTCAGGCGGAATGTGCAGTGCGGGCACTTGGTTTGGACTCTCCACCGAAGTCGCCCCCACGGAAACACCCAGACATCGCCCCTCGCACTGAGCAGACCACCCATCGAGAGCCCTCTGTTGCCACGAAATAGCAGGGTTGTGGGTGCTTAACCAGGGAATCCCCAGCACCACTGGGTACGCAGGAGAGTCGATCAGATACAGCTGTATAGTCTCCTCATGACCCCCCTGCGCACACATCCGAAGTGGCGCTGTGATCTCCCTGATCAACCCCGACCCCAACGGACGGCTATCTAAGGCATGAACGGGAAAAGGTTTGTGAACAGGTAGGAGAGGGATCCCTAACTCAAAACAAAACTTCCGATCAACAAAATTCCCAGCTGCGCCTGAATCTACGAGCGCCTTATGCTGGGAATGAGGTGCAACCTGTGGAAAACACACAGGTATACAAAAGTGCGCAACAGAAAGCTCTGGGTAAGTGGGACGTCTACTCACCTGGGAGGCCCCCCCAGTGCGTGGCCTGTTGTCTTCTCCCCCGGAGAACCCTCCCCAGCACCTGGCCGCAGTGTGCCCTCCACGACCGCACTTGGTGCAGGAGACAGGCCCCCTCGGGCTCCTCCTACTCCGTTCTCTAGCGCCGGCACCCCCGAGCTCCATAGGGCTCGGCTCGGAGGCGCCGGAGGGCGGAATGGACGGACTCCCCTCGGGACGTCCACGGGTGGCCAGCAGGGTGTCCAGACGGATGGACATATCGACCAACTGGTCGAATGTAAGATGGGTATCCCTGCAGGCCAACTCACGTTGAACGTCCTCTCGTAGGTTACATCGAAAATGGTCGATGAGAGCCCGCTCATTCCACCCTGCATCAGCCGCTAGAGTCCGGTACTCTAGAGCGAACGCCTGCGCGCTCCTCCTCCCCTGTCTCAACTGGACTAGACGCTCCCCCGCCGCTTTGCCCTCAGGTGGATGGTCGAACACGGCCTTGAAGCGGCGGGAGAACTCTGCGTAGGTCACGGTGTTGGCGTCCATTCTCCTCCACTCGGCGTTAGCCCACTCCAACGCCTTGCCCGTGAGACAGGAGATGAGGGCGGAAACGCTCTCGTATCCCGAGGGCACCGGGTGTACAGTGGCCAGGTAGAGCTCCACCTGCAGGAGGAACCCCTGACACCCGGCAGCTGTTCCGTCATACGCCCTCGGGAGCGAGAGCCGAATCCCCCTGGGTTCCGAACCTAGGACTGGTGGACCGACCGATGGGGTGGGCAGGATAGGTGGAGGTGTGGGTACCCGGCTGGCCTCCCATCGGTGCAAGGTGTAGATTACCTCCTGTAGAGCGGTCTCCAGTTGTCGAATCTGGCCATCTTGTCCACGGATATGCTCCTCGAGCGACACAGGCGTCTCTGCCGATCCTGCTGATTCCATTGTGGTGTGTGATTCTGTCATAAGGTGCTGAAGGTGGGTGTGGTGTAGGAATCAGGCGCAGGACGCAGAGGCTCAGTTCAAAGGCTTTAGTGCAAAATTCACACAAACAAAAGCACAATAAGCCTGAAGGCGAATACCAGGCGCACACAGGCGACAAAATAAACTGCGCACAAAACATGTGCAAAGAAACCACTCCAAACACTGGAGGGAAAAATGTAGCTCCAACACGTAACAGAGGCGCAATCACACACAAACACAGACACACACAACGAGAACTAAATAGAACACTAACGAGGACTAACTAGACACAGGTGTACAACATTAAGACCAAACCAAACGAACATGAAACATAGATCGGTGGCAGCTAGTACTCCGGGGACGACGACCGCCGAAGCCTGCCCGAACCAGGAGGAGGAGCAGCCTCGGCCGAAACCGTGACAGGGTGAATACATATGCACGCACCACTTTTCCGTTATTAATATTTGATAATTTTATGAAATAAGTTATTTTTTTAATTTCACTTCACCAATTTGGACTATTTTGTGTATGTCCATTACATGAAATCCAAATAAAAATCCATTTAAATTACAGGTTGTAATGCAACAAAATAGGAAAAACGCCAAGGGGGATGAATACTTTTGCAAGGCACTGTATCCATATCTCTGACTGGGTCGAACTTACACTTGCTTAGCCCGTATTGTGTCCTCTCTTCCCATTATCAGGCAATTCCATTATATACAGTGTGATTCATTACTCTCCCTCATTTATCTCAGTCTGTGAGCTTGCATTTTAATGAGGGGTTGCAGAGAATGCCAAGACCAATCTGTCATTTCGCCATTGTCCACTGTACTCTGGGGAACTGGCAGTCACGACTGCACTTGGGCTTTTTAGTCATTCACATCGAATCACACATCCCACGTGGAAAATATATAGCGTGTGCGGTTCTGTCATGTGTGATTCCCATTGGCTTGGCTCTCCAGTGACTAACTCCTCCAGAGTCCAGGTGTCCCTGGCCTGCATGGGAGGGAGTTAACTGGGATTGACAGGGAATCACTGGGAATAACTGGACATTACTGAGCTGAAATAAAGAACTGACCAGGAATGGGTGAGATTGAACAAGGATGATCAGGATTGAGTTGGGGTTCAGTGAACCTTGTGTACCGTGACCATGAGACTGCACAGGATACAGGAAGACAAGTGTTCCCTTTGCCCTCCATATTCCTTTTTCCATGAGCTGCCTAATGCCTTCAGCATGAGGCTCATGGAGATAGGGATCAGCTTTCAGGAGTGGAAAATGAGGTTGAGGGGTCAAGCATAAAAAGAGAATATACTCCCAGTGGGGCTCGGCTCTAAATGAAGGTTTCTCTAAACTTGGCAGGTTGTATTTCTTCAACCCTGCTTATTTCTCTTGGCAAGAGAATTTGGTCCGAGAAAAAAGAGAGTACATGAAACCAAATATATACCATGATGTGTTGTTTGAGTTGAAGATCCAAATATTACACCATGATATATGTCATAGCAGTGAAACAGTGACTAGATTAGATTAGACATAGTCATATGAAATGGCCACTCACATACTACAGCTGAAATCATCGTTCTTAGTATTTCAGTCATTAAGGCTGCGTTTACACAGGCAGCCCAATTCTGACCAATTCGTATAGGCTATCCAACAATATGTATACTGTATGACACAGTCAGTGAAAACATACATCCTTTTATATTTCCCAAATAGTGAACATGACTATCACAACAATAATTCCACGCTTTTGACCAGGGACCATTCAAACTGGATTCATACCTCCATGTTATTTCAGTAGATGAGTTTCAGTGGTCTCATGAATCAACCAGACAACCTTTTCATTAAGGAGCTTGCCTCTGACAGGGCCTGACATTGGGCTGGACTTGAGAGGTGCTTATAAAGTTCAAGAGTTGCTTCTTTTACCTTCTCATTACCAGCCACAGCACATTGAGAATTAATCAAGGCAGATTACACATGCAGATTGCCTGAACCCACGGTTGATTATACAAAATGTAAACAAACCGAAAGGCTCCTTCTTTGTACAGTGGAGGCAGAGTGATTGTGCTTATTGCAGGAATAATGCATTGTCTGTGTGGCTGCCAAGCACCGAAACACAATAAATTGATTTCATTGTCAGATAATACCTGATTTGGAAATGACCTTTCACTGTATATGATACCAAGGTGAATCTGTCCTTGTTTTGATAAGCTTAGTATGTGATAAACACCTAAAGATGTAGGGTCTTAATTTGAGCCAGTTTGCTACAGCAGGAAAATAATCCTGCAGCAACAGGACATGTGAATTATAATGTGGATTATAATTCATGGACATTTTTGTATGGATTTATAAATTTTTTGATAGGAAAAATGTAGTCTAAAATTTCAAAGTGGAAATGACAAACTTCAGAAGCCTTTTTAAACCTCAAATACACTACAAGTTTAAAATGTCTTGCATTGCAGGACAGTTCTCCTGGAACAGGGTGATCAAATTAAGATCCTACATCTGTATTTTAATTATTCCACCTACCGTACTTGTCTTGTCATGTATTGCACTGACATTACCATCCTTGCCTAAGATTATTGCTTTTTCTTGGGCGAGATTGAAACTGAAATTCTGAAAATGGAGGCCATCCACTGTAATTTTTCTGGATGGGAAATATTGATGGGAAATATTGATTGTATGGGAGACGGTAAACACAGAAACGTCATGGAAACGTCATGGAAACGTCATGGAAACGTCATGGTTAGATAGATAATAGACATCTAGAGGAGTGTCCTTGTTTGTACTTGGTACGTGAGGAATGGGACGGGTCATAACAGCAAAGGGACTGGTACACATCCTGTTAATGACTCTGGGCCTGTATTCAAAAAGTGTCTCAGAGTAGAGTAGTAGATCTAGGATCAGGTCCCCCATCTAATTCCTTATAATCTAAAAGGCAAAAAACAGATCCGAGACCAGCACTCTGAGACTATGTGAATATGGGCCCTGAAATCTGCAGTCTGGCACTCTGCCAACTGTGCTGTACTAACTGTACACAAACTAGTGAAAGTAATAGAATTGATGCTGGACTAATCCAGCCGCGTAGGTACGGGTGGGACCGGGTGGGCCCGGCAGATTGAGCAAAATAAATGAAATGTTTAATGCTCTCTACAGTGTTCCAAACGGGACATTATTTGTATTTTTACCTAAACACCATCAGATAGAATTTATAGCAAGAAGTGCACTGGAATGACATTCACTTTCATGCGATGGGTGGCCAAAAATAACTAACTGAAAGCCACACCCCCCAATAAGCCACAAAATGACTGCATTGAGGCATATGTCACTGTGTTTCTATGGCTATATGCACCATGCCACTGCCTATTTCGTTTGTTCATTTAGCACACATAGCAGCTAATGAGCCAGTGCCTTTATCACAGTCAACACACCTATATTTGAGTTTTAGTTAGCATTTTATCTCAGCCTCATGGCAAAATGTGTAGAATAGCAGGAAATTAGCTGTAAAACATATATATTATTTTGGTTCCACCCAAAATTCTCAGGCCCACCCACCAACGAATTTCTGGTTACCCTACTGGACTAATCTGATGTTGTTCCAGATGCACTTCTTCACTCAACCCTCATCAAGCTATTTTTAACCTACACATTACGTAACATTGTTTAGCATGGCTGAGGTAGGGAGTGTGATCAGCAGGCGGTGATCACAGAGAGGTCTATAATGGTGAATGGCTTTCAACCAGTTGTTCTGGCTTGGGATATATATTTAAAATGGCTCGTCTGCTTTAGCCAGCTTGTTGTTGTCTCACCGAACAATGATGTTGAATACAGAAACAAACCCAGTCTAGAGGACAGTATAGTGCATGTGGAAACTAACAGAGAAATTAGGTTATGCAGTGGCTCGAATGTATTTTGTTAGTGGTGTGCTGCACTGCCTGTTGATGTATTGATCCCTCACTCACTAAGATGTTCATGCCCTCCCTCCCTCCCTCCCTCCCTCCCTCCCTCCCTCCCTCCCTCCCTCCCTCCCTCCCTCCCTCCCTCCCTCCCTCCCTCCCTCCCTTCTCTTTCCCCCTCCACAGCCGAAGGGCTTTCGACGGTACTATAGCTCCCCACTGCTGATAACGGAGCAATTTGGCTGCATCAAAGAAGTCATGCCCATTGGTAAGCACGCTCTCTGGCCCTTTGCCTTACAATACTCTAGAGATAAAGAAATGTCATTACAAACCAAGGTGCATGAACAGTGGAGAAAACTGAAGATGAGAAGATACTCAGCGATTCTTTCTAAGACAATGGAAGTTTGCTTCAAAAATATATATTTTTATTGTTGAAACCAATGTGAGACAAGCTAAAGGGATTTATATAGGCCTGCCTTTCAAAATGTCAATACACTTACAGTAAATTGATGCACAACTAGGTTGCCAGGGAGGTGTCCTTGTCTGGCTGTTTTGACTGACATGAGCTTCTCTTCTCTGCTGTCTCCCCCCAGCTTGTGGCAGTAAAGTGGACCCTGTGTATGAAGCTCTCCGGTTCGGGACGTCTCTGGCACAGAGGAACAAGAGGTCCAGTGCCTCCGAGTCCCCCCACAGGAACTCTGTAAGAACAACAACAACACAATATATTACAGTTCAGGCTTAACTGAATGACAACAGAGACAGAATACAATATGGAATTGTATTGTTGGTGGTGGTGGGGAGGTGGAATTTCATTGGAAGACTGTTGCTGCAAAACAACAGGTGGGAGACACAAGGTTTGAGGTGACATATAAATACTCCACCATTTATGCCCATTGGTTGAAAGAAAGGGAAGTGATTATTGCACGAGTGAGCCCATAGGTTAATCAGCAAGCGTGGAGGAATTGCCTTAGTGTGTTATGCTCATAGGCTGAAGTTAGGTGAATGACATTCTGCATGCTTCCTAATACTAAAGGAGGAGGAGAGGCGTGACACTATGCTGATGAGTATGATAGGAAGTGATGTCAATTATACGTGTTATCTACACTGAACAAAAATAGAAACGCAACATGTAAAGTGTTGGTCTCATGTCTCATGAGCTGAAATAAAAAAATACCAGACATTTTCCATTTGCACAAAAAGCTTATTTTTCTCAAATTTTGGGCACAAATTTGTTTACATCCCAGTTAGCGAGCATTTCTCCTTTGCCAAGATAATCCATCCACCTGATAGGTGTGGCATATCAAGAAGATGATTAAAAAGCATGATCATTACACAGTTGCACCTTGTGCTGGGGACAATAAAAGTATCCTTTAAATGTGCAGTTTTGTCACACAACACAATGCCACAGATGTCTCAAGTTTTGAGGGAGCGTGCAATTGGCATGCTGACTGCAGGAATGTCCACCAGAGCTCTCGCCAGATAATGTAATGTTAATTTCTCTACCATAAGCTGCCTCCAATGTAGTTTTTAGAGAATTTGGCAGTACATCCAACCGGCCTCACAACCGCAGACCACGTGGGGGAGGAGTATTTCTGTCTGTAATAAAGCCCTTTTGTGGGGAAAAAATCAGTCTGATTGGCTGGACCTGGCCCCTCAGTGGGTGGGCCTGGCTGCCAAGTGGGTGGGCCTATGCCCTCCAAGGCCCACCAATGGCTGCACCCCTGCCCAGTCATGTGAAATCCATAGATAAGGGCCTAATTTATTTATTTCAATGGACTTATTTCCTTATATGAACTGTAACTCAGTAGAAATGTTGAAATTGTTGCATGTTGCGTTTATATATTTGTTCAGTATAGATAAATAAAAAGTGACGAGCATTCAGACCAGCCTTCCTGATAGAACATTAGGAAACTACATTTCAAAATAACTTCCACAAGACACAGAGCTCTGTAAATGTGTCTTCTCGAAACATAAATACATTCATCAAAACTAGATTATACTGTCAAAATTTCAAATACATTCATCAAAAGAACACGACTGCCTGAAAAAAGATTACCGCAACCATACTTATCTCTGGAGTCCAAGCAGACAGAACAGAAAGTTAATCTGTCTTTTAAAACTCCCAGTAGATCAATACATTTTCTTTGCAGTCACTAAATCATGTAGATCAAAATTGGACATACAACTATCCAAAGGTGCAGAATTATGGGTAATTAATCACCTTTGTTTTATGCATATTTCACCAAAACATTTCATACACATCAAATCAAATATTCTTCCTGATAAAGAATTCAATAAAAAAATAAGCACATAGTGTGCAGGATTCATTAATCGGTATCATCACAATCCAATTCCATGTATTCAATAAAAAGGCTGGTTTGCTCATAGTTTTGTAGACGTTCCATTGGTGCACAGAAACACAATCCACAATAGAAATAAGGAAAGGTGAGTACATGTCACGTTGGTTGAGTACAGGATTGGACCAAGGTGCAGCGTGGTATGCGTACATGTTCATTTATTAAATAAACACTGAACAAAACAACAAAAGCAACGTGACGTGACATTCTACAGGCTAACCTCAAACAAGCCTAACACACAGAAACAAGATCCCACAACATAGGTAGGCAACATGCCTAAGTATGATCCCCAATCAGAGACAACGATCGACAGCTGCCTCTGATTGGGAACCACACCCGGCCAACATAGATCTACAATATCTAGATCATACACATAGAAATTCACACCCAGACCAAACCAACAAGAAACAACAGGCATTAAAGGTCAGGGCATGACAGTACAATAGAGGAACCCAACTGATATTAATGTATAGATCTCAATCCACACCAAAACAAAGCTCTGTAATAGAAGGTCACAGTGTTGGAGATGATGACTTGGGAGTAACCCAACTTCATTCTCTGCATCTCGCATGTCAGCAATATTGTAAAAAAGCATAACAATTAGACAGTCCCCCATTGCCTAGATCTTTCCATGTATTGTGCATGGTATGTCATTGATGAGGTGATTTAGAATTTTGTGCAGTAGTATTTTATGATTACCTGAAACAGTGAACACACATTTATCTTCTGATGAAAACAGTGTGTTAATATTCTGTGAACAAAACAGTTGTATTCACTGATGACATTTGTATTAAATGTTTTGCAAAAGGTGGTCTAAAATATGCAAGTCAGTAAATGTATTTGAGTATTTGATAATTGCTCTTATACTATAGATACATTTCAACACAGATCCAAAAATTACTTGTACGTGATTGAGAAAAACTGTAATGAAATGACCTCATCAGCAATTCACCACCTGACTGTCATTTAAGAAACTACCCCATCAGCAACGTATAGAGATGTCAGGCCAGAGGTTAGCCTACTAACATAACGGTCATTAAGCAGGTGATTTCAAAATGTTTATATCATGTTGTTCTGTGTTTTGGTGCTGCATCTCTTTCATCTGTGAGTGAATGAGTGTCGGAGTGTAGGGGTGCAGTAGATAAGGAGAGACACTGGCACCCAGGAAACATGGTGGTGTATCTCTGCTCCGGCGCAGTTGCTTGGCTGCTGTTATCCCAGCTTAATTGATTAGAGTTCGATCACTCATTTTAACCTGGGGCCTGGGAGCATGGTTGACGGGTCAAGTGAATACATTATGTACTTTATACATTATGTCATATTCAGCTGGACAAATGGACACACGTCAAAGTGCGGGCCAAAACTCACTTATAGCAATGAACGTACATAGAGACAAAGTATAGATTGAAAAGATACAGTACAGGTGTTGTTGTTGAATGCACACTCCAGCTCTGCCTTGAGTGATGATAGTGTACTGAGATACAGCCACTGTGGAGTAAATATGACCAACAAAGGTGTACTGAGAGACAGCCACTGTGGAGTAAATATGACAAATAAAGGTGTACTCAGATACAGCCACTGTGGAGTAAATATTACCAATAAAGATGTACTGAGAGACAGCCACTGTGGACTAAATATGACCAATAAAGGTGTACTGAGACACAGCCACTGTGGAGTAAATAGAACCAATAACAGTGTACTAAGATACAGCCACTGTGGAGTAAATATGACCAATAAAGGTGTACTCAGATACAGCCGCTGGGGAGTAAATATGACCAATAAAGGTGTACTCAGATACAGCCACTGTGGAGTAATAAAGGTGTACTCAGATACAGCCACTGTGGAGTAAATATGACCAATAACAGTGTACTCAGATACAGCCACTGTGGAGTAAATATTACCAATAAAGGTGTACTCAGATTTGGTATTTTATTAGGATCCCTAATAAAGCAGCAGCTACTCTTCTTGCAGTCCACACAAAACATGAAACATGACATAATGCGGAACATTAATAGACAAGAACAGCTCAAGGACAGAACCACATCAATTTGAAAATGGCACACGTAGCCTACATATCAATACATACACACAAACTATCTAGGTCAAATAGGGGAGAGGCATTGTGCCGTGAGGTGTTTCTTTATCTGTTTTTTTTAAACCAGGTTTGCTGTTCATTTGAGCAATATGAGATGGAAGGGAGTTCCATGCAAAAATGGCTATATATAATACTGTACACTTTTACAAATTTGTTCTGGAGTTTGGACTGTGAAAAGATCCCTGGTGGCATGTCTGGTGGGTGTAGATACAGCCACTGTGGAGTAATAAAGGTGTACTCAGATACAGCCACTGTGGAGTAAATATGACCAATAAAGGTGTACTCAGATACAGCCACTGTGGCGTAAATATGACCAATAAAGGTGTACTCAGATACAGCCACTGTGGCGTAAATATGACCAATAAATGTGTACTCAGATACAGCAACTGTGGAGTTTATATGACCAATAAAGGTGTACTCCGATACAGCCACTGTGGAGTAATAAAGGTGTACTCAGATACAGCCACTGTGGGGTAAATACTACCTATAAAGGTGTACTCAGATACAGCCACTGTGGAGTAAATATTACCAATAAAGGTGTACTCAGATTTGGTATTTTATTAGGATCCCCATTAGCTGTTGCGAAAGCAGCAGCTACTCTTCTTACTGTCCACACAAAACATGAAACATGACATAATGCGGAACATTAATAGACAAGAACAGCTCAAGGACAGAACCACATCAATTTAAAAATGGCACACGTAGCCTTCATATCAATACATACACACAAACTATCTAGGTTAAATATGGGAGAGGCGTTGTGCCGTGTGGTGTTTCTTTATTAGTTTTTTTAAACCAGGTTTGCTGTTCATTTGAGCAATATGAGATAGAAGGGAGTTCCATGCAAAAATTGCTATATATAATACTGTACACTTTTTTAAATTTGTTCTGGAGTTTGGGACTGTGAAAAGACCCCTGGTGGCATTTCTGGTGGGTGTAGATACAGCCACTGTGGAGTAATAAAGATGTACTCAGATACAGCCACTGTGGAGTAAATATGACCAATAAAGGTGTACTCAGATACAGCCACTGTGGAGTAAATATACCCAATAAAGGTGTAATCAGGTACAGCCACTTTGGAGCAAATATGATCAATAAAGGTGTAATCAGATACAGCCACTGTGGAGTAAATATGACCAATAAAGGTGTACTGAGAGACAGCCACTGTGGAGTAAATATACCCAATAAAGGTGTAATCATGTACAGCCACTTTGGAGTAAATATGATCAATAAAGGTGTACTCAGATACAGCCACTGTGGAGTAAATATGACCAATAAAGGTGTAATCAGATACAGCCACTGTGGAGTAAATATGACCAATAAAGGTATACAGTGCCTTCAGAAAGTATTCAGACCCCTTGACTTTTTTCATATTTTGTTATGTTACAGTCTTAATCTAAATCGGATTAAATAAATAAAAATCCTCAGCAATCTACACACAATACCCCATATTAATGACGCGAAACAGGTTTTTAGAACTTTTAGCAAACTTATTACAAATAAAAAACATAAATACCTTATTGACATAAGTATTCAGACCCTTTGCAATGAGACCTGAAATTGAGCTCAGGTGCATCCTGTTTCCGTTAATCATCCTTGAGATGTTTCTACAACTTGATTGGAGTCCATCTCTTGTAAATTAAATTGATTGGACATTATTTGGAAAGGCACACACCTGTCTATATAAGGTCCCACAGTTGACAGTGCATGTCAGAGCAGAAACCAAGCCATGAGGTCGAAGGAATTGTCCGTAGAGCTCCGAGACAGGATTGTGTCGAGGCAAAGATCTGGGGAAGGGTACCAAAACATTTCTGCAGCATTGAATATCCCCAAAAACACAGTGGCCTCCATCGTTTTTAAATTGAAGAAGTTTGGAACTACCAAGACTCTTCCTAGAGCTGGCCGCCCTTGCCAAACTGAGCAATCGGGGGAGAAGGGCCTTGGTCAGGGAGGTGGCCAAGAACCTGATGGTCACTTTGACAGAGCTCCAGAGTTCCTCTGTGGAGATGGGAGAACCTTCCAGAAGGACAACCATCTCTGTAGTACTCCACCAATCAGGCCTTTATGGTAGAGTGGTCAGACGGAAGCCACTCCTCAGTAAAAGGCACATGACAGCCCGCTTGGAATTTGCCAAAAGGCACCTAAAGACTCTCAGACCATGAGAAACAAGATTCTCTGGTCTGATGAAACCAAGATTGAATGCCAAGCGTCACGTCTGGAGGAAACCTGGCACCATCCGTACGGTGAAGCATGGTGGTGGCAGCATCATGCTGTGGGGATGTTTATCAGCGTCATGGACTGGGAGACTAGTCAGGATCGAGGGAAAGATGAACGGAGCAAAGTACAGAGAGATCCTTGATGAAAACCTGCTCCAAAGCACTCAGGACCTCAGACTGGGGCGAAGGTTTACCAACAGGACAACGACCCTAAGCACACAGTCAAGACAACGCAGGAGTGGCTTTGGGACAAGTCTCTGAATGTCCTTGAGTGGCCCAGCCAGAGCCTGGACTTGAACCCGATCGGACATCTCTGGAGAGACCTGAAAATAGCTGTGCAGCAACGCTCCCCATCCAACCTGACAGAGCTTGAGAGGATCTGCAGAGAAGAATGGGAGAAACTCCCCAAATACAGATGTGCCAAGCTTTTAGCATCATACCCAAGAAGACTCAAGGCTGTAATCGCTGCCAAAGGTGCTTCAACAAAGTACTGAGTAAAGTGTCTGAATACTTATGTAAATGTGATATTTGACTTTTTTTTATATGTAAAAATTAGTTTTTGCTTTGTTATTATGGGGTATTGTGTGTAGATTGATGAGGGGAAAAAACTAACATTTAATCAATTTTAGAATAAGGCTGTAACCTAACACAATGCGTAAAAAGGGAAGGTGTCTGAATACTTTACGACGGCACTGTATATATTTAGACACAGCCACTATGAAGTAAATAGAACCAATAAAGGTGTACTCTGATACAGCCACTGTGGAGTAAATATGACCAATAAATGTGTACTCAGATACAGCCATTGTGGAGTAAATAGAACCAATAAAGGTGTACTCTGATACAGCCATTGTGGAGTAAATATTACCAATAAAGGTGTACTCCGATACAGCTACTGCTGAGGAAATTTGACCAATAAAGGAAATCTACTCCAGGAATAGATGATGATGAGGGGAATGGAATAGTTATTCCAGGAGAGATATCTGCTGATGAAAATGCTCAGATTAAGACAGAGAGGAGGACTCGAAGACTCAAAGTGTAAACATGAATTGCAAAATAAAAGGGGAGGACCTCTCCTCTTTTCTCAACTCTGCAGCTTCTCTGTGTACATCTCACTTAAACTGTATCTGCGGCTTGAATCAGTTCTGGAAATGATGTCTTAAAGCCACCAGGGAAGTCCTGTCAACTGCAGCTGCTATTTATAAGGTGAAGTACCTGGGGCTTAAAAACTAGGACAATGATTAGCATCAGTGATAGCAGAGGGTAAACTCAGTTCACCCACCTAATTTGTTTACCAGTACATCCCTGGTTAGGATAGGATTAACGTTAATGTCCCCGAGGGGAAAATAGTCTTAGACACACAGTACTGCTGCATACAAAATAGACACTGCACATTACACACTCAACATAATACATACATTGCACGTTACCCCTGTCATACACATTGTACACTTTCACATAGGTTACGATGATAATTGGCAACTACATATTTAGATCCTATACAGTACTGCTTTGGTGGGAACATGTGTTGTTATGATTCCTTCAACTGTTGCCCTGTCATAATATTAGTCGATGTTTTCGAGCTCCGTTGAGCAGTGTTTGTAAATTCAAGATAACATCAAAGCTTTTTTGGTGGTCCTAAATCTAGACCACCCTCTACAATTCTAGGAAAAGTGTCAAAAACATTAAAGAGATTTAACGGGATCTTAAGCACTTACAAATTTGTAACACTCCTGAGTGGCGCAGTGGTCTAAGGCACTGCATCGTAGTGCTAACTGTGCCACTAGAGATCCTGGTTCGAATCCAGGCTCTGTCTCAGCCGGCCGCGACCGGGAGACTCATGGGCGGCGCACAATTGGTCCAGGGTAGGGGAGGGAATGGCCGGCAGGGATGTAGCTCAGTTGATAGAGCTGTGGGGTTGTGGGATGCAATGCCAGCGTTGTGGGTTCGATTCCCACGGGGGGCCAGTATAAAAATATGTATTCACTAACTGTAAGTCGCTCTGGATAAGAGTGTCTGCTAAATGACTAAAATGTAACATATCGTACGAATAACAGGAAGAAAATTAAATTAAAAAAGAACATATGATATGGATGACATTGTGCACAATTTTCGGGGACCCGTTTTGACTCGTGAGCGCTACTTCAAAACTACTAGCTACAACAAAAAACTCTGCTGCATCACTTTAAGATCAGAAATTAGTGTGTGGTCTAGGTACCTAGCTACTGTAGGATCTGAATGACTGGCTACAATCTGTCAGTTAGATGTAATGACCTCTATCTGCTCCCACAGACTAGTGACTTACCCCAGGTTCCAGAAGAGGCCGTCGCTCACAGCAGTCGACATGAACTCACCAGGAAGCACAGTGATAATGGTGAGTACTGTACACGGTGTACCAAGAGGCAGCCATTAGTGACTAAGAGGCAGCCATTAGTGACACTGGGAAATGCATAGACTTTATGAATGAAACTTTACTGACTGCTTAATGGTATGTCTATAACCTTATATGCCAGATCCTTGATCCAGCCTTGAACTGAACTAAATTTCAGTTGATTCACTGAATGTAATGGATGCTCACTGAATGTAATGGATTCTCACTGAATGTAATGGATGCCGACTGAATGTAATGGATGCTCACTGAATGTAATGGATGCCGACTGAATGTAATGGATCCTCACTGAATGTAATGGATGCTCACTGAATGTAATGGATGCCGACGGAATGTAATGGATGCTCACTGAATGTAATGGATGCCGACTGAATGTAATGGATGCTCACTGAATGTAATGGATGCCGACTGAATGTAATGGATGCTCACTGAATGTAACGGATGCTCACTGAATGTAATGGATGCCGACTGAATGTAATGGATGCTCACTGAATGTAATGGATGCTCACTGAATGTAATGGATGCCGACTGAATGTAATGGATGCTCACTGAATGTAATGGATGCCGACTGAATGTAATGGATGCTCACTGAATGTAATGGATGCCGACTGAATGTAATGGATGCTCACTGAATGTAATGGATACCGACTGAATGTAATGGATGCTCACTGAATGTAATGGATACCGACTGAATGTAATGGATGCTCACTGAATGTAACGGATGCTCACTGAATGTAATGGATGCCGACTGAATGTAATGGATGCTCACTGAATGTAATGGATGCCGACTGAATGTAATGGAGGCTCACTGAATGTAATGGATGCCGACTGAATGTAATGGATGCTCACTGAATGTAACGGATGCTCACTGAATGTAATGGATGCCGACTGAATGTAATGGATGCTCACTGAATGTAATGGATGCCGACTGAATGTAATGGATGCTCACTGAATGTAATGGATGCCGACTGAATGTAATGGATGCTCACTGAATGTATTGGATTCTCAGTTGTATTTACAGTACCCAGTGTAAGATCTCAAAGAAGAAGGGTAATAAGGCTATTGCCCTGACCTTTTGCATGCAGTAGCATTCACCCAGAACAATGAAGTTGTAGAAAGCACACTGGTTGGAGTAGACCTCACATTATTCAAAATGCCGTTAGAAGCTCCACACAAAGAATATCATCTGACCCCTAAGGAGAGAGGAAGAGAAACCTTATTCTGTGTTCCTCTCTGCTTGCCACGTGTAGAGACTGGAATTTCTCCTCAACCCTACTTGAATATCTGGACAGGTCTCCATAAGAAAATAAAAAGATCCATACTTACAGTATGACAATCTGTCCCATTAGTAATGCCATCCGAATACTCTGTTGCTTTCTGAAATATGTATTTATTTATGAAATAGCTTTTCTATCACAGCTTGTAAAATGAATACTTAGGTTTATTCCAGGACATTCAGTGGATTAAATCCCACTGCTGTCGAGGTTCATCCAAGCTTCACTGTCTTTTTTTGATTGTCAGAGTGTTGATAGCTTTAATGTTGTCTTTGATAATTGAAGTATTTGTCATTGATTTGGGGGTGATTTACTGAATGTTTTGACATTTTCCAGTGTTCACATCACTTGAGAATGGGACGGAGCCCATTCCCTATTGCCACGTGGCTGAGAGGAAACCTGATGATTCACTGGTAAGGAACCCAAACACTTACAGTATAGTAACCAGACCCCCTGTAACTCTGAGGAGGGCAGCAGTATAGTAACAACACTCGCTTGTGACGAGGTGTGAAAGAAGGAGTCAGGCACAGGAGGTAAAATATCGAAGTCCAGAGTTTAATACGTTTGCATAAATCAAACACCCCAAGCGTCAAACGAAACTGTACAAGGGAAAACATCCACCTTGGCAAATAACACAGTGAAATGTAGCTCAACCGAGCTACACGCTCTCACAACAAAACAATCACTCACAAAGACAAGGGGAACAGAGGGAACATTTATACACATACTAATTAGGGGAATGAGCACCAGGTGTGTGTGATTGACAAGACATGACAAGTGGAGTGATGAGAATGGGATCGGCAGTAGCTAGTACTCTGGTGACGACGAACGCCGAAGCCTGCCTGAACCAGGAGGGGGGGCGACATCCCTGTAACTCAGAGGAGGGCAGCAGTATAGTAACCAGACTCCCTGTAACTCTGAGGAGGGCAGCAGTATAGTAACCAGACTCCCTGTAACTCTGAGGAGGGCAGCAGTATAGTAACCAGACCCCCTGTAACTCTGAGGAGGGCAGCAGTATAGTAACCAGACTCCCTGTAACTCTGAGGAGGGCAGCAGTATAGTAACCAGACTCCCTGTAACTCTGAGGAGGGCAGCAGTATAGTAACCAGACTCCCTGTAACTCTGAGGAGGGCAGCAGTATAGTAACCAGACTCCCTGTAACTCTGAGGAGGGCAGCAGTATAGTAACCAGACTCCCTGTAACTCTGAGGAGGGCAGCAGTATAGTAACCAGACTCCCTGTAACTCTGAGGAGGGCAGCAGTATAGTAACCAGACTCCCTGTAACTCTGAGGAGGGCAGCAGTATAGTAACCAGACTCCCTGTAACTCTGAGGAGGGCAGCAGTATAGTAACCAGACCCCCTGTAACTCTGAGGAGGGCAGCAGTATAGTAACCAGACTCCCTGTAACTCTGAGGAGGGCAGCAGTATAGTAACCAGACTCCCTGTAACTCTGAGGAGGGCAGCAGTATAGTAACCAGACTCCCTGTAACTCTGAGGAGGGCAGCAGTATAGTAACCAGACTCCCTGTAACTCTGAGGAGGGCAGCAGTATAGTAACCAGACTCCCTGTAACTCTGAGGAGGGCAGCAGTATAGTAACCAGACTCCCTGTAACTCTGAGGAGGGCAGCAGTATAGTAACCAGACTCCCTGTAACTCTGAGGAGGGCAGCAGTATAGTAACCAGACTCCCTGTAACTCTGAGGAGGGCAGCAGTATAGTAACCAGACTCCCTGTAACTCTGAGGAGGGCAGCAGTATAGTAACCAGACCCCCTGTAACTCTGAGGAGGGCAGCAGTATAGTAACCAGACTCCCTGTAACTCTGAGGAGGGCAGCAGTATAGTAACCAGACTCCCTGTAACTCTGAGGAGGGCAGCAGTATAGTAACCAGACTCCCTGTAACTCTGAGGAGGGCAGCAGTATAGTAACCAGACTCCCTGTAACTCTGAGGAGGGCAGCAGTATAGTAACCAGACTCCCTGTAACTCTGAGGAGGGCAGCAGTGAGAAAAGTTCAACTTCCACACAGACTTTTTCCTACTGTAAATTACATTAGTGTTACTCATTTAATTCCCGCCCAAGCATATCAGTGGAATGCTAAGAGAGTTACAGATCTTTTTTCAATTAGAAATTGTTTGATTTTGTGTTGAAGTCATCCAGGAGGCCCCTGAACACCCAGATGCTTTGAGACACATGGTTAGTAGAGATAAAACATTGATTTGACACTAGAGAGAGAAAATGGTACAGTATAGCACCTGAAGGTGTGTCTGTCTTGTCTTACACCAGTGGAACAGAGTAGAACACACAAACATAATTTTAATACTGTTTTATGAGGTCACAAATAATGTCTCTTGCGAGGAGCCTGCCTCATCTACAGTCCCTTTGTCTTGGGTGCTGCGCTCTTTTATGACCAAGCACAAATACATTGAGAAAGACTGCTGGCACATAGAACGCAGGTAGAAGTAAACACTGCAAGAGCTGCTCATGACAAATCATAATAACCTCTGATCTGGAAATGGAAAATGCAAAGTTAATGTTCTTCAGTGGAGGCCAGTGACTGATTATTTTCTCAGTCCTTAATGTTTGTGTGTGCTGCAGGACTTTCCCTCTAGAATGTATCTTAGCCCACGGCTATCCTTAGTCCATTGCCCATTTGTCCTACGGACTAACACATTGACATAAAGTCTAAGGATAGCACAAACTTCTCTGGAGCCAAATGAGCCCTGGGCTTAGTAAGGTTGGTGTCAACCCAATTTGAAACATGCATTGTCTATAATGTAGCCCAGGGCTTAGACCTACCCAAAATAGGTGCAGTGTGAAAACCCTAGACGCGGAGCTATCAATAACTACCTTCTAAACTTAGATTTCATCATGTCACAATTAGTCTATGGCGAGGAAGAGCTAGTGTGGAACATGGGGCAAATAAAAAAGGTTGGGCATTTGCTAGAAATCTTCAAAGCAACAAGACCTGCAATGGACAACCCCATTCACTGTTGTTTTATGCAATTAGCATGGCAATAAGTGTCACAAATAATCAATCATTGACATGATGCATTAACTTTTGTTGTCTGTTGGCCCTGAGCAAATCATAGCTCTGGACTAAGAATATCTTGAGAGACTGTACACTATTCTATTGAAAGCCTCTGAGAACTGTGTCTGTGCTGTGCTTGCTGTTGGGCTGTACTCTACTCTGTGCCTTTAGCCTGAGACCTGATCCTGAGCCAGTTCTTGCTGTTGGGCTGTACTCTACTCTGTGCCTTTAGCCTGAGACCTGATCATGAGCCAGTTCTTGCTGTGTGCGTGTCCATTAGCAGGCTACTTACTATTGGCCAGACTCCCATCACTACTGACTTTCCCAGGAGTTAGGAGAAAGAATGTATCTCCCTTACAGACAAATGATACCCTTGCCTCGGCCACTGGCACACACAGATATAAATAGGCTCTGACCCTAATGTTTATATCTCCAGCTCTGGTCTGTGCAATATTTATTTTCTGCGTGCAGCCTGACACATTACAAAACTAGTGCAAATTCCATACTGTTCCCTGTAGTGTAATATTGATGAGCAAATCTCAGCCAGATTTATTTTGCCCTCTCTCTGGCTTCTACGGTGGTAGAATGAAAAAAAAAGAACTGCAGTGTTCAGGTTCCCAGAACATGTTTCATATTTGTAATATTTCAAGCCAGCCTCTATTTATCATTCATTTTACATGTTTATCCTTAATGTCAACTTTGGAAATGACCAAAAACACACAAAGTACAGAGAAATACAAGCAAACATGCATGTGAATGTGCAAACACACATACATACACATGCACACACGTGCACACACACACACACTATGCAATCTCCCCTGGCCAGCTCGCTGAAACATGTAAAGTGGTATTTTCCACTCTTATCTGGCTGAGCTTAGCACAGCTGGGAGGATGCCGTTTGTTCATCTGAAGGCAGGTCTATAAATGCAGCCTGGCACCCAAACAGAATGACACACAGACACAGGCTCTACAGGGGAATGAGCAGAGGCATGGACCACACGCTGCAGGAGCAGATTGTCCCATGTTGCTTCTTGTCCTATCTGAAATGAGAGACACTAATTACTGATTGGTCTATTCAAATGTACAGCCCATTTCTTATCCCATATTCCAAACCAACCAACACCTGTTCCCTGGACATCTTATGTCCCCATGTCTTGAACCAATACCTGTTCCCTGGACATCTTATGTCCCCATGTCTTGAACCAACACCTGTTCCCTGGACATCTTATGTCCCCATGTCTTGAACCAATACCTGTTCCCTGGACATCTTATGTCCCCATGTCTTGAACCAACACCTGTTCCTTGGACATCTTATGTCCCCATGTCTTGAACCAACACCTGTTCCTTGGACATCTTATGTCCCCATGTCTTGAACCAACAACACCTGTTCCCCATTTCGGGCCCCGTCCATCGCCCCTTTGATGCGGTGAAGTTGTCCTGTCCCCTTAGCAGAAAAACACCCCCAAAGAATAATGTTTCCACCTCCATGTTTGACGGTGGGGATGGTGTTCTTGGGGTCATAGGCAGCATTCCTCCTCCTCCAAACACGGCGAGTTGAGTTGATGCCAAAGAGCTCCATTTTGGTCTCATCTGACCACAACACTTTCACCCAGTTCTCCTCTGAATAATTCAGATGTTCATTTGCAAAGTTCAGACGGCCCTGTATATGTGCTTTCTTGAGCTTGCGGGCGCTGCAGGATTTCAGTCCTTCACGACGTATTGTGTTACCAATTGTTTTCTTGGTGACTATGGTCCCAGCTGCCTTGAGATCATTGACAAGATCCTCCCGTGTAGTTCTGGGCTGATTCCTCACCGTTCTCATGATCATTGCAACTCCACGAGGTGAGATCTTGCATGGAGCCCCAGGCCGAGGGAGATTGACAGTTCTTTTGTGTTTCTTCCATTTGCGAAGAATCACACCAACTGTTGTCACCTTCTCACCAAGCTGCTTGGCGATGGTCTTGTAGCCCATTCCAGCCTTGTGTAGGTCTACAATCTTGTCCCAGACATCCTTGGAGAGCTCTTTGATCTTGGCCATGGTGGAGAGTTTGGAATCTGATTGATTGATTGCTTCTGTGGACAGGTGTCTTTTATACAGGTAACAAGCTGAGATTAGGAGTACTTTAAGAGTGTGCTCCTAATCGCAGCTCGTTACCTGTATAAAAGACACCTGGGAGCCAGAAATCTTTCTGATTGAGAGGGGGTCAAATACTTATTTCCCTAATTAAAATGCAAATCAATTTATTACATTTTTGACATGCGTTTTCTGGATGTTTTTGTTGTTATTCTGTCTCTCACTGTTCAAATAAACCTACCATTAAAATTATAGACTGATCATGTCTTTGTCAGTGGGCAAACGTACAAAATCAGCAGGGGATCAAATACTTTTTTCCCTCACTGTATATTATAAAGAAAACACGATAAATAAGAAATAAGAGAGGAAGCTACATACAGGGTCAGTGCCAGTACCAAATGTACAATGTGAAGTGATACTGGAGTATTGAGGTATATATGTACATTTAGGCAGGAATTAGGATAAAGTGACTGGTAGCAGGATAAATAATAATAATAATAATAAAATTAATAATAGTAAACAGTATGGCAGGGGCATTAGTGGTGTGTGTGTGTGTGTGTGTGTGTTGGAGATTTTTCAGTTAAGCACAGTTATTCACAACATGACAAGCTAACAATGCATAGTTAATCACAACGTGACATAGCTAAGCACGGTGCAAAAGATAGAGGTCTGAAACAGAGCCAGGAAATGGCTCAGGAAATGGACCTACAATTTCTTAGGATGAATTGAGGCTCAGAAAATGGACCTGCTATGTTTAAGAATCAATTCAAGGGTTAGAACAGAGACAGGAAATGGCTCTGTTATTTTTCACATAACAGGGCTTGGTCCCGCCCCCATTGTTTCATAAAACAGGTTGAATAGAAGGAAAATAAGTCAGATTGCGCCACTATTATAAAATAAGGAAGTCGGCGGAGCGGTCAAGATGTGAAAACTTGGAAACAATGGTGGAGGATCTAAACAGGGAGGGATTAAGGTAAAAAGGTGTGTAATATGAGCGAGGATGAAACTGTATAAATTATAAACAGAGAGTTAGAGGTGGAGAGTTAGTTGCTCTGCAGACCATCTCGGCTCTATTGCTTGTGAAATAAAGTCTATCTTAATTCTACAAAAACTCTGGAAGTACTTTGTGTTTTACTGAGGATCAGGACAATTTTCTACAACAATATACATGTTAACAGGGCTGACAAGTGACTGGTAGCTGGAATATATAATTACTGATGGTAATATACTAGTGGTAATATATACACTGTGTACAAAACATTAGGATCACCTTCCTAATATTCAGTTACACCCCCTTTTGCCATCAAAACAGCCTCAATTCATCAGGTCATGGACTCTAAATGGTGTCGAAAGCTTTCCACTGGGATGCTGGCCAATGCTTGTCTCCAATGCTTCCCACAGTTGTGTCAAGTTGGCTGGATGTCCTTTGGGTGGTGGGCCATTCTTGATACACACAGGACACTGTTAAGCGTGGAAAAACCCAGCAGCGTTGCAGTTCTTGATACACTCAAACCGGTTTGCCTGGCACTTACTTCCATACCCCGTTCAAAGTTAGTTAAATATTCTGTCTTGCCCATTCACCCTCTGAATGGCACACAAACACAATCCATGTCTCAATTGTCTCAAGGCTTAAAAACCTATTTATCCCGTCTCCTCCCCTTCATCTACACTGACTGAAGTGGATTTAAGGATCATAGCTTTCACCTGGGTTCACCTGGTCAGTCTATGTCATGGAAAGAGCAGGTGTTCCTAATGTTTTGTAAACTCAGTGTACATGTACACAAGAGTAACAGTGACAAGTAGCAGGATAAAATAGATAGGTACTAATGGTAATGGCAATCAATAATCAATGAACAGCAGCGTTGTGGTAGTAATACATCGAATCAATAATCATTTTAGCAGCAGCTTAGGTGTGAGGGGGAGCATTATTAGCCATTTAACAGTCTTATGGTCAGGGGATAGAAGCTGTTTAGTAGTCTTGGTCTGAGCCTGGAGAACAGTCCATGTCTCAGATGGCTGGAGTCTGGCAATTTTATGGGCCTTTCTCAGACACTGGCATTCTAGGTCATTCTAGGTCATTGTGGTCCTCTGTAGCTCAGCTGGTAGAGCACGGCGCTTGTAACGCCAGGGTAGTGAGTTCGATCCCCGGGACCACCCATACACAAAAATGTATGCACGCATGACTGTAAGTTGCTTTGGATAAAAGCGTCTGCTAAATGGCATATTATTATTATATTATTATTGCTAGAGTGCGACTATTTGTGACAAAAGTAGAAAGTGCCTTAAGGTGTGAGTGTGTGCAAATACGGTTACTGAATGTGCCTGCGATAATTGTGTTAGCACTTCTCTAACAACATCCTCTCCGCCCCCGCTTTTATTGTATTTTAATTTCCTGGGAGCGTATGAAAACAGATCAACTAAACAAGAGGATGCTTCCTCCCACTCATATATATAATGTTGTGTAAACTTTACAGTAGCAGGTGGCAGAACGACTTGAGCAATTCTCCCTCTTTCTATCAGAACAAGAGCTCATTCTAATCTAAGAATAATCAAAATGAATTAAAGAAGTAAAGAATTTCCTCTTTGATTTGATTAGGGAATAACAAAAAGCTGTAGTCTACACTGTTTGTTGGATCAGCTGACAGCAGCTGTGTGTGTGTGTGTGTGTGTGTGTGTGTGTGTGTGTGTGTGTGTGTTGCCTTGCAGGAGAGGAGATGGCTGCAGAAGGACACACTGCAGCTCAACACCTACGTTGCTTTGTTTACATTCACTCCCCAGGAGAGTGAAGACCTGGAGATGAGGTCAGTGGTATATACACACAGACAAACACACACACACACACACACAGACACAAACACACTCACTCCCTCTTTCTCTCGCCAAGGTGATATTATTTTTGTGACTGGCCCCTAATTTTGGTGGCAAATTGTGATGGACATAAGCTTCAGTAGACCCACACATCTACACACACTTAAGCTGTCCGTTAACCTGGTAGCAGGCATCAATGGCCAGTCAGTCACACATTGCCGCTGTCTCGCTTTTGTAATAGTTGCAAAAACAGTGTTATAAATAGTCTGACTGATTTATGGGACTGCTTAGTTTAAACTCTCTTATCTGCAAGGGCCAAAAGCTCCTACTAGCTCACTGTCAGAATGGGTTGTTTGATTGGTTTCTGAAGGGCCTTGGCCTTGCCTGGACGTTTCCTGCATTTTCTTTATAAAACCATGGCGTTAACAATTACCTTCTCTTGAATATAGAACACACACGCTGTGTTTACCCCGATAAGCAGGCAGACATCACTGAATGCACGCTGTAATCACTGCTCAATAGATATCAGGTCTTTGCCAGTGTTATTCTCTAATACAACATGAACAAACATTGTCTGTTTTGTTATGCATGACAATTAAATTGTCTGTGTTTTGTGTGTGGTCTCCTGCTTGTACTTTGCTCAGTTTAACGACCATAAGGCAGGTAGCTTAGTGGTTAAGAGCGTTGTGCCAGTAACCGAAAGGTTGCTGGTTCTAATCCCCGAGCCAACTAGGTGAAAAATCTGTCGATGTGCCCTTGAGCAAGGCACTTAACCCTAACTGCTCCTGTAAGTCGCTCTGGATAAGAGCGTCTGCTAAATTACCAATTTATTTATAAGACTATCTCTTAATCATAAACCAGGCATAAACCCACATGAATTCATTAGATTATCGGTACATAAATATGGTTATGATTTGACCCGATTCATTAGATTATTAAGATATTGTTACATAAATATGGTTGCGATTTGACCCAATTCATTGGATTCTAAAGATATTATTACATAAATATGGTTGCGATTTGACCCAATTCATTGGATTCTAAAGATATTGTTACATAAATATGGTTGCGATTTGACCCAATTCATTGGATTCTAAAGATATTGTTACATAAATATGGTTGCGATTTGACCTGCGATTTGACCCGATTCATTAGATTATAAAGATATTGTTACAAAAATATGGTTATGATTTCACCGAATTACAATATGATGTGATAAAAAGACAATACCTGATGGTTTATTGCTTATTATAAACTGTGGTTCGAGCCCTGAATGCTGATTTGGGTTGACAGCCGTGGTATATCAGACCATATACGACGGGTATGACAAAAAAAGTATTTTTACTGCTCTAATTACGTTGGTAACCAGTTTATAATACAATAAGGCATCTCGGGGGTTTGTGGTATATCGCCAATATACTGTACCACGGCTAAGGGCTATATCCAGGCACTCAGCGTTGCGTCGTGCTTAAGACCAGTCCTTAGCCGTGGTATAATGGCCATATTCCACACCCACTCGGGCCTTATTGCTTAATGAGACAAATATCAATGTCTCTGTGATATTTTCTGGAACCTGTGGAAAGCTGCCAACCCACTGGGCACATTGAATCAATGTTGTTTCCATGTCATTTCAATTAAATTACGTTGAACCAACGTGGAATAGACGTTTAATTGACGTCCGTGTGGGAATCGTCTGGACTACGTAAATGTTAACATATAGGGCACCCTTTTTTTTATTGTCACTTTGCAATTGGCCCTTAAGAAATAAGAGTTTCTCTCTCAACAGCCCTTGGCCCTAAGTATCCATTTTACTCCATCGTTCCCTTAGTAATCCAGTCTCTCAGACGCTCCAATCGTCTGAGATTCTCCTCCTTGCTCCCCAGAAAGACTTCAATCATCCCACACTTAATTTGAAATTCATTCACACCCACATCACAGCATGACTCCCAGCCCACAAATAGCTGCTGTGCAGTTGGGTGATGCTGCAAGTGTTGTTTTAAATCATCTCCTATGAAAGCCAAGCTAGACGGGCTCAAGGTCTCAGGATCCCATTACAGACCATAATCAACACTTCAGACAGACACACCAAATCACATTGTACTGTAGACTTTAAAGGCACCCTCATCAAAAGGCGGGGAAATGTCAATCTCTTTTTACATTACATGTTGTGACACCTGGCTTGTGATAACTTTCTTCTGCGTAATTTGTTATTAGTCTACTGCTACATGACGATGATGGTGATGATACTATAAAAGCACGATTCCAAACATATTTCGATTGGCAATATATTTAATAAACCAACATTTTCCATATTTTTTTATAATAGAAAGATCTCAATAGACAACAATTTTTAACATGTTCAAACTAAAAGGACAGCGCTTTTCCTCTCACAGACCTGATTCAATAGACAGGATATTTTAAAGAGGCATTATGACTGTAGGAGGCGAGTCATAATTGAAACAACATTATTTCAGGTTTGTCTTTCTTATTATCAGATTAAATCTAATTTACAGCACCAGAGACATTGATTTTTAATATGCAATTTATTTCTAATTTAGACCCGGAGACAGAATCGTACTGGCGGACGACTCCAATGATGACTGGTGGAAGGTATGTATTTAAGTGGAAGACAGCTAGTACTGACATTTAAACCACTACACTACACCAGTCCAGGGCCGGCGTTATGGGCGGGCCTTTGGGGGCCCGGCCTACCGTACATCCTTACCCATCCAAATAAAATGTTGAAATATTGATCAGTTATTTGACCGAGATGCGCGCCAACAGACAGACTCATCAATCTCATTTAAAACATCAGAGCGAGCGAAACAGCACCCCTCTGTCTCAGTATGTGTAGACCATGTGTAGACCATGTTATGGTGCGTCTCTCTCCGGAATACATGCATACAGTATGTAGGACCAGCTCAGCTGGTAGAGCACGGCGCTTGTAACGCCAAGGTAGTGGGTTCGATCCCTGGGACCACCCATACACAAAAATTTATGCACGCATGACTGTAAGTCACTTTGGATAAAAGCGTCTGCTAAATGGCATATTATTATTATTATTAGGAAAGGGCCCATTTGGCAATGACTGATTTGTCTGATTGTCATAATTCACTATGTACACCACTTTTCTTCGCCTCACACAAGTCAACAAAGTCTGTTTTTTTTAACATCCATTGCGAATAATAGTTCCTCAGTATTTGAAAAATCTTTCCAACACTCCCTGCCTCGATAATCACCAAGCCTCGGTGTGAAAGAGCAAAATATCATGATCTGATGATTCCATATATCCAGTGGAAACGTCATTAAAAAAAAAACATATTTCTGTCCTGAGCTCACTGGCGCAGGAAACTCTGAGGGCCCAGAATGGGATAGTTGATACAATGTTGCAAGTTCGCTAGCTACAGCTTCAAGCCAGACCAAGTGATAATTTTATATAATGTTGCACTTCACTAGTAATAGCTCAAGTCAAGACAGATAGAAAGGGAGGCAGACATGCGGAATAGAGAGATTGAAAGAACCAGAATTTTCATCAGGATATTTTCTACTGTTTGTATTTGTTTGCTTTAGGCCTACAGTGAGGGAAAAAAGTATTTGATCCCCTGCTGATTTTGTACGTTTGCCCACTGACAAAGAAATTATCAGTCTATAATTTTAATGGTAGGTTTATTTGAACAGTGAGAGACAGAATAACAACAAAAAAATCCAGAAAAACGTATGTCAAAAATGTTATAAATTGATTTGCATTTTAATGAGGGAAATAAGTATTTGACCCCTCTGCAAAACATGACTTAGTACTTGGTGGCAAAACCCTTGTTGGCAATCACAGAGGTCAGACGTTTCTTGTAGTTGGCCACCAGGTTTGCACACATCTCAGGAGGGATTTTGTCCCACTCCTCTTTGCAGATCTTCTCCAAGTCATTAAGGTTTCGAGGCTGACGTTTTTCGAGGCTGACGTTTGGCAACTCGAACCTTCAGCTCCCTCCACAGATTTTCTATGGGATTAAGGTCTGGAGACTGGCTAGGCCACTCCAGGACCTTAATGTGCTTCTTCTTGAGGCACTCCTTTGTTGCCTTGGCCGTGTGTTTTGGGTCATTGTCATGCTGGAATACCCATCCACGACCCATTTTCAATGCCCTGGCTGAGGGAAGGAGGTTCTCACCCAATATTTGACGGTATATGGCCCCGTCCATCGTTCCTTTGATGCAGTGAAGTTGTCCTGTCCCCTTAGCAGAAAAACACCCCCAAAGCATAATGTTTCCACCTCCATGTTTGACGGTGGGGATGGTGTTCTTGGGGTCATAGGCAGCATTCCTCCTCCTCCAAACACGGCGAGTTGAGTTGATGCCAAAGAACTCCATTTTGGTCTCATCTGACCACAACACTTTCACCCAGTTCTCCTCTGAATCATTCAGATGTTCATTGGCAAACTTCAGACGGACATGTATATGTGCGTTCTTGAGCAGGGGGACCTTGCGGGCGCTGCAGGATTTCAGTCCTTCACGGCGTAGTGTGTTACCAATTGTTTTCTTTGTGACTATGGTCCCAGCTGCCTTGAGATCATTGACAAGATCCTCCCGTGTAGTTCTGGGCTGATTCCTCACCGTTCTCATGATAATTGCAACTCCACGAGGTGAGATCTTGCATGGAGCCCCAGGCCGAGGGAGATTGACAGTTATTTTGTGTTTCTTCCATTTGCGAATAATCGCACCAACTGTTGTAACCTTCTCACCAAGCTGCTTGGCGATGGTCTTGTAGCCCATTCCAGCCTTGTGTAGGTCTACAATCTTGTCCCTGACATCCTTGGAGAGCTCTTTGGTCTTGGCCATAGTGGAGAGTTTGGAATCTGATTGATTGATTGCTTCTGTGGACAGGTGTCTTTTATACAGGTAACAAACTGAGATTAGGAGCACTCCCTTTAAGAGTGTGCTCCTAATCTCAGCTCGTTACCTGTATAAAAGACACCTGGGAGCCAGAAATCTTTCTGATTGAGAGGGGGTCAAATACTTATTTCCCTCATTAAAATGCTAATCAATTTATAACATTTTTGACATGCGTTTTTCTTGATTTTTTTGTTGTTATTCTGTCTCTCACTGTTCAAATAAACCTTCCATTAAAATTATAGACTGATCATTTCTTTGTCAGTGGGCAAACATACAAAATCAGCAGGGGATCAAATACTTTTTTCCCTCACTGTATGTATTTTATTTAGTTGACGATGGAAGTTATAGGCCTACTACTCTATCTCTATGCTGTCATTTCTTAGCCGCCAGTGGATCAGTGTGTCCATATGGCAGAGGCTTGTGCTCTCGCCATAGTTTAATTTTACTTCAGATCTTTATGATTAACCACATGACAATGATTTTGAAAAACAAAAACGTTATTATTGAAATGAAACTGTTCCACAAAAAATAATCATAACTGGCACGCAGATCGGTAGAAATGGTAGGATAAATTGTCAGCTTCCCCAAACTTGAAACTCACGAGCTGCCTATGGTCTTTACTATTCCACCCATTAAAACATTTGTGAACGCTCAAGCGGGTGCACACATAGGAGGTCCCGTGGAAAAATGTGCCCACCTATGGAAATCAAATGCCTCTCCAACTGATTCGTTCTGGCGCCGGGTCTGCACCTGTCTGCTGCCATGTTAGTGTGACCTGTAGATGTGATAGTGTATAATGTTTCCTCTGGATGATGGATCTAGGGCATGATCGAGGACAGGATCGGTTTCTTCCCAGCAGCCTTTGCTCACCAGGTGAAGACCGGGGACAGAGTGTTCAGGTGTCACCGGACGTTCATCGGCTGTAAGGGGCAAGGCCAGATCACTCTGAAGGAGGGTCAGGTATGTGATCTCACTTTTACGCACAATACATGATTATTGTGGCCTGGCTGGTTGAGTGGTAATGCCGAGGCATCCGGCACGCATGTTTACAGTGTCGGCATAGGTTTGAATCTGGCCTTCTGCCCTTTGAGACAACCTCTCTCTATCTTGCTATCTTTCTATCTTGCTATGTCTATCTTCCTATCTCTCTATCTTGCTATCTCTATCTTCCTATCTCTCTATCTTGCTATCTCTATCTTGCTATCTCTATCTTTCTATCTCTCTATCTTGCTATGTCTATCTTCCTATCTCTCTATCTTGCTATCTCTATCTTTCTATCTCTCTATCTTGCTATCTCTATCTTTCTATCTCTATTTTCCCTCTCTATCTCTCTATCTTTCCTGTCATCCTCTATCTGTATCTCTCTAATAAAATCAGAAAATACCTTAAAAGCTTTTTAAACCATACGATAATTATGTCAAACTATTTGTGACTAAAAAGTACCCAATTATCCCCAATTGAACTAATATACAAGCAAACATGATTGTTATCTATTGTTAAAGAATTGTATAGTTAGTCCCTTAAATGTTTCCATGTATTACTTTACTTGCTGCAGTTCATGTTTAAGCCCCAGATACAAGTGGACATCAGACACAGTTCATCCTCTCACCAATTCCCATAGGCAATGGGAGTCCTGGGCACTCAGTCCAAAGACTCTCTCCCGGAACATTCACTTCAAAGGATGGACCTGAGCTGGCCAATTGGTAGTCCCCCGCTCTCAGCAGTTTCCATGGCATTACCATTTTGGCATGGCAAATGGCTTTGCCGCCTCAAATCCTTTTCCCACAATGCTTTGCATGGGCATTTTAGGATTCAGAGGAGAGTTCATGCTAGTAACCCCCAATGGAGATGCATCCATTCCTAACACTTTGAAGATGAGTCAGTGACCTCATAGCTCTGCCTCCATCCCCAATGAGTAGCAACATCCGCTGTTTCCAGTCACACAGCCATTCACACTACCCCTCAGCAGCTGTATCAAAGACTATTCAAACTACCCCTCTGCAGCTCTATCAAAGATTATTCAAACTACCCCTATGCAGCTGTATCAAAGACTATTCAAACTACCCCTCTGCAGCTCTATCAAAGATTATTCAAACTACCCCTATGCAGCTGTATCAAAGACTATTCAAACTACCCCTATGCAGCTGTATCAAAGACTATTCAAACTACCCCTCAGCAGCTGTATCAAAGACTATTCAAACTACCCCTCTGTAGCTGTATCAAAGACTATCAGGCCAATACAGACAGGTGTCATTGTTGTTTGGTGGGATAATTATATATTTCTTACAGCCCCTTAGGGCCACCGTGCATTGTTAATTTAATGTGTTAAAATGTGTTTTGTTTGTACAACAAGCAACCAAATCACGAGAGCATTTTTCACTGTTTCATCAGATTTGTGTAAGCGGTGAGGATGAACACAGTGGCTTCATCCGAGTGGCCAGTGGAAAGAAGAGAGGCTACGTGCCCTGCGATGTCCTGGAGAACATCTGAGAGAGAGAGAGAGAAATAGAGAGCGCTGGAGAGAGATAACGAGAGGGAGGGAAGGAGGGAAGGAGAGGCACAGTGTCACACTCCCATGATGCACAGGGATGGCTCTGACAGTAGCTCTGATCAGATGCCAACCTCAGGCGCGAGGGGGAGGACGATTGTTCCCACGAAATGGCCGCCTGAGACCATGGAGGAAATGCTCTGTTTAGCTGTGGATCCAAACTCCGAAATATTGCTGTTGCCATTAAGGGAATGGCTTTGTCAGAGTCAGAGCCAAGCTTCCTCATTCCCTTTTAGCCTGAAGGGGAAAATGTTGCGACGGATCAGATAACCTGACTTTGTGCTCACAGGGAGGGAGAGTGGGGTGATTGTATCTCTGGATTTGGTTAGATTTTTATTCCGATTTTGTTTGATTTCAAATACAACTTGTGCATTGTTTGTTCTTTGTGGGATTTCCCAGTGGAGAATACAGGTGACGCATCATGCATGAATATACTGAATGTACTCCTGTGTCTACTGCTGAGACAGAGAGAGCAAGGAAAGCAACTTTCGGCAACTTTCTTTATGCATACATTCTTGCTTATTTAGCTTCAGCTGCAGTATGTTTGAACCGCCTGTTTAGCCTAAAGCCCAAATGATCAAGCACTTGTTCTCTATGTCAAATAGCTGCCTATAGGCCTAGATTCTGTTCTGAAATAATAAAATTATATTTTATTCACTTACGCTAACTTTGATGCAAGCAGTTGAGGTTACAAACAGCATATTTATCAAAAGCATAGAAGATAAGTCCCTTTTCTTCTATGCTCGTATAATGGTTCTACTGAGTCTTGATAGCCTCTAGCTGACAATTACAGACCCATTCTCCCAAGACAGAGTCTTTTTATCCGTCCCTCTGTGATACAAGAAATTCCACGCGTTGGTTTTGTCACTGGAGAGGAACAACAAAAATAATTAGACGAAGCAGAAATGTATCAAGATTTCTGAGGGAGTATTGTTCAAAGGAGTCAGATGCAATCAAAGATGAGGAGTTTTTTTTTCTTTCTTTCAAATAAATATTTTGCACAAATCTAGCTAGTGATGTTCCTAGTCTAGCTGCTTACCCATCCACATTTGCATTTTTTAAAAATCTGACACTACAAAAGGACTACAATTAAGATTTTTACAAAAACCTGTCAAATAGATTTGGTGAATATTTCAAAACAATGAATACCTAATTTGCAACTTAAAGTCTGGTGATAATGTTCTCTTCAGGTACAGTGGGGGAAAAAAGTATTTAGTCAGCCACCAATTGTGCAAGTTCTCCCACTTAAAAAGATGAGAGAGGCCTGTAATTTTCATCATAGGTACACAGCAACTATGACAGACAAAATTTGGGAAAAAAATCCAGAAAATCACATTGTAGGATTTTTAATGAATTTATTTGCAAATTATGGTGGAAAATAAGTATTTGGTCAATAACAAAAGTTTCTCAATACTTTGTTATATACCCTTTGTTGGCAATGACACAGGTCAAACGTTTTCTGTAAGTCTTCACAAGGTTTTCACACACTGTTGCTGGTATTTTGGCCCATTCCTCCATGCAGATCTCCTCTAGAGCAGTGATGTTTTGGGGCTGTCGCTGGGCAACACGGACTTTCAACTCCCTCCAAATATTTTCTATGGGGTTGAGATCTGGAGACTGGCTAGGCCACTCCAGGACCTTGAAATGCTTCTTACGAAGCCACTCCTTCGTTGCCCGGGCGGTGTGTTTGGGATCATTGTCATGCTGAAAGACCCAGCCACGTTTCATCTTCAATGCCCTTGCTGATGGAAGGAGGTTTTCACTCAAAATCTCACGATACATTGCCCCATTCATTCTTTCCTTTACACGGATCAGTCGTCCTGGTCCCTTTGCAGAAAAACAGCCCCAAAGCATGATGTTTCCACCCCCATACTTCACAGTAGGTATGGTGTTCTTTGGATGCAACTCAGCATTCTTTGTCCTCCAAACACGACGAGTTGAGTTTTTACCAAAAAGTTATATTTTGGTTTCATCTGACCATATGACATTCTCCCAATCCTCTTCTGGATCATCCAAATGCACTCTATCAAACTTCAGATGGGCCTGGACATGTACTGGCTTAAGCAGGGGGACACGTCTGGCACTGCAGGATTTGAGTCCCTGGCGGCGTAGTGTGTTACTGATGGTAGGCTTTGTTACTTTGGTCCCAGCTCTCTGCAGGTCATTCACTAGGTACCCCCCGTGTGGTTCTGGGATTTTTGCTCACCGTTCTTGTGATCATTTTGACCCCACGGGGTGAGATCTTGCGTGGAGCCCCAGATCGAGGGAGATTATCAGTGGTCTTGTATGTCTTCCATTTCCTAATAATTGCTCCCACAGTTGATTTCTTCAAACCAAGCTGCTTACCTATTGCAGATTCAGTCTTCCCAGCCTGGTGCAGGTCTACAATTTTGTTTCTGGTGTCCTTTGACAGCTCTTTGGTCTTGGCCATAGTGGAGTTTGGAGTGTGACTGTTTGAGGTTGTGGACAGATGTCTTTTATACTGATAACAAGTTCAAACAGGTGCCATTAATACAGGTAACGAGTGGAGGACAGAGGAGCCTCTTAAAGAAGAAGTTACAGGTCTGTGAGAGCCAGAAATCTTGCTTGTTTGTAGGTGACCAAATACTTATTTTCCACCATAATTTGCAAATAAATTCATAAAAAATCCTACAATGTGATTTTCTGGATTTTTTTTCTTCTCAATTTGTCTGTCATAGTTGACGTATACCTATGATGAAAATTACAGGCCTCTCTCATCTTTTTAAGTGGGAGAACTTACACAATTGGTGGCTGACTAAATACTTTTTTTCCCCACTGTAACTCATCATGACATCGTTGTGTTTTATAAAGGATAATGGATTTGATAAGTCATTATGTGAATTTAGGAAGTGGGCAACCTCTAATAAGTGGTTAGATCAATTGTTTTTGAATGTATGTCATAATATCTGCATAGCTGTTGTATTGGCTAGGTGTGGTTTCTAAAATACATTTCAACACAATTACAATAGATTCTATACACAATAACAAATTAACAAAAACAAGTTACAGTGAGGGAAAAAAGTATTTGATCCCCTGCTGATTTTGTGCGTTTGCCCACTGACAAAGAAATGATCAGTCTATAATTTTAATGGTAGGTTTATTTGAACAGTGAGAGACAGAATAACAACAACAAAATCCAGAAAAACGCATGTACATTTTTTTATAAATTGATTTGCATTTTAATGAGGGAAATAATTATTTGACCCCCTCTCAATCAGAAAGATTTCTGGCTCCCAGGTGTCTTTTATACAGGTAACGAGCTGAGATTAGGAGCACACTCTTAAAGGGAGTGCTCCTAATCTCAGCTTGTTACCTGTATAAAAGACACCTGTCCACAGAAGCAATCAATCAATCAGATTCCAAACTCTCCACCATGGCCACGACCAAAGAGCTCTCCAAGGATGTCAGGGACAAGATTGTAGACCTACACAAGGCTGGAATGGGCTACAAGACTATCGCCAAGCAGCTTGGTGAGAAGGTGACAACAGTTGGTGCGATTATTCGCAAATGAAAGAAACACAAAATAACTGTCAATCTCCCTCGGCCTGGGGCTCCACGCAAGATCTCACCTCGTGGTGTTGCAATGATCATGAGAATGGTGAGGAATTAGCCCAGAACTACACGGGAGGATCTTGTCAATGATCTCAAGGCAGCTGGGACCATAGTCACCAAGAAAACAATTGGTAACACACTACGCCGTGAAGGACTGAAATCCTGCAGCGCCCGCAAGGTCCCCCTGCTCAGGAAAGCACATATACAGGCCTGTCTGAAGTTTGCCAATGAACATCTGAATGATTCAGAGGAGAACTGGGTGAAAGTGTTGTGGTCAGATGAGACCAAAATGGAGCTCTTTGGCATCAACTCAACTCGCCGTGTTTGGAGGAGGAGGAATGCTGCCTATGACCCCAAGAACCCCATCCCCACCGTCAAACATGGAGGTGGAAACATTATGCTATGGGGGTGTTTTTCTGCTAAGGGGACAGGACAACTTCACCGCATCAAAGGGACAATGGACGGGGCCATGTACCGTCAAATCTTGGGTTAGAACCTCCTTCCCTCAGCCAGGGCATTGAAAATGGGTCTTGGATGGGTATTCCAGCATGACAATGACCCAAAACACACGGCCAAGGCAACAAAGGAGTGGCTCAAGAAGAAGCACATTAAGGTCCTGGAGTGGCCTATCCAGTCTCCAGACCTTAATCCCATAGAAAATCTGTGGAGGGAGCTGAAGGTTTGAGTTGCCAAACGTCAACCTCTAAACCTTAATGACTTGGAGAAGATCTGCAAAGAGGAGTGGGACAAAATCCCTCCTGAGATGTGTGCAAAACTGGTGGCCAACTACAAGAAACGTCTGACCTCTGTGATTGCCAACAAGGGTTTTGCCACCAAGTACTAAGTCATGTTTTGCAGAGGGGTCAAATACTTATTTCCCTCATTAAAATGCAAATCAATTTATAAAATTTTTTACATGCGTTTTTCTGGATTTTTTTGTTGTTATTTTGTCTCTCACTGTTCAAATAAACCTACCATTAAAATTATAGACTGATCATGTCTTTGTCAGTGGGCAAACGTACAAAATCAGCAGGGGATCAAATACTTTTTTCCCTCACTGTATATACATTTGTTTCCTATACAAATGGCTTTTACACCTGTTATTGTCAAGGTATTTGATCAGAGAAGCTTCAATGCATGAGCTACATGAAATTCAGCTTTGATTTACATTCATGTATGCTTGCTCCAATTGCACTAAATGGTAACTCAGATATGGCTATTCACTTATTCCAATGTAAACTCATTTTACTTCAGATCAAGACATGCTTGTTGAGATGTAACGTAACTCTATCTATCCCTTTAATGTCAATCTTATGTCACACTCCTGTACTATTCCTTTCTTTTGGTGGAATAGCAATATTCTTTG